ACCTTAACTACACTAAAGGAAAACAGAATATATAGCAAATGTTTCCTGCTGAATGGCAGGTGGCAGATGAAAAATTAATAGTTTACCTTCGGTGAACAAAGAAACAGAAGTAAAGCGTAGTCCAACAAAACCAAAAGGTCATTTTCAGCCCGATTTCTTTCACATAGGAAAGCAATGTTGATAACATTAGAATCGGTTATATTTCTCAAATACTTGTTCCTTTTTCTAGCTCTTTCTTCTTAAGAGATGAACAGGGAAGGCCCGAAAAGGGGGTTCTGTGATTTTTAATGGCGTATCTTTCTTTCTAAGAAAGAAGAGGCCCTGATATACTCTGGATTATCCAAGCCACGCTCTGAGATCAGACCCACTCAGGCTTAGAGAGGTTTGCACAGGCAATGCTTTTCAGCTGGTTTCGCTACTAGCAGCCATGTACTCTTTCTCATTCCATTTGAACAATCTACATAGACTTGCCACACGTCATTAGCAAGAGCGCACAGGTTTTCTTCAGATACTGTTCCCTCACCTGCTGCATACAGGGGTACAGGACATTACGCACATAATAGATTCTAGAAATTAAGCAACCATCCCCTTTATTTTACACTACAGGACACTGGTGACTCGATCAAGGTCACACAGAGGGTTTATGTAAGAGCAGTCACAAATGTGTCCTGCCTAAAGTTCTTTTACGAACCACAGACTGGGAGGTACAAAGAAGAAATCGCAGTTTAAGTTGTCTGATTCCAGAGTCGAAAGTGAAGAATAAAAAGGATTTGGGTAGACTCCGCCTCCCCCAGGGCTCCCACCCCCTCAGTCCAGCCAGGGCCATATTAACAGATGCTCCTGTAAGTGGCGCTCTGTTTGCCCTAAACAAGCCCAGATATACGTGGCTTCCTGAACTGTCTGCTGCTGCTTCTCATTTCAAAGGTTGGTAAGGGTGACTTGTCATGTGCTCTCATATACAGCTAGGATGTTTTCTATGGTATGAGGTTTTTTTTCTCCTCTCCCTTTTCCAAATGCATACTTGGAAAACTTAAGAAAACAATCTTGTTCCTTTAAAAATATATCCCAAATTATTAACTTTTCTATGTTGTTCACAAAAAAGTAGACCCTGGATGAAAAGCAGCAAGGCCTGGGAGATGCCTCTGTGGTCACTGATTCTCCCTGAATAATCTCCTCAAATCCTAGAACAGGAGGATTCTGTATAGATGGCAAGGGCAACACAACTACCTCCTAAAACTTCTAGGGTTCCTTCCTGGAAATTAAGAATAGTGGAGGTATAATTCTCACGAGCCATTTGTCCGATCGTGCCAACTGTCACATAAACAGGACTTTGCCACACAGTCCCTAAGCTGCACCTCTTCCCCAACATTCCCTAGTCCCTCCAGATTCTGAGGGACTGTGTCTTCCTCTAGGTGGTTTTAAACAAGTAAGCCCACACCAACCAAACTGTCATTCACTTCTTGATCAACAATAGGATCACTTTCAATGGCAAATAGAAAGAATAATACCACACTTGTATGCTAACGACAGTGATAAGAACAGAAAGTACTTTATTTACGATAATTGTTCCCTATAATTAAAAAATAATTGCCTCCAAATACCTAGCGGCTATAAATATGCTCATCTTAATAACTTTGGACTCCGAAAGAAGTTTGGAGGGATTTAGGAAAGGATTAAGATAATAAACTTCATTATTCTTTTAATATACACGTGGACTGAAAGATAAGTGTAAACTGACAAACTGTAAAAATATTCACCTTAAAGTGATTGCTTTTATGAAAATTCATTGCATTCCTTGCTGTCTTATTTTAGGGCTTCAAAGTAATATGAGACCAAGATAAAGAGCTGCTCTTCCATAACTTAAAGCAACATAACTACAAAATTAGAGTTCTTTTTCTATCTAGTCTATCAGGCTTCATAATCAGCATTATTTCATGCCTCATTCCTAGAACTGAGCATTTCATCTGCTCCATTACACGTGGGGTAAATGTGCCTTCCTTGGTCACAGTCAGGAAGAGCATACTTCTCACTTAAGTGGAAACGTAGATTTCAAAAATGCGCATTAACTGATTTGTAACACAGGTGCACACATCTGAATTCCTAATATACTCAATGTTAAGGAGAGCAGTGAAGATGGTAGCACATACATTTTGAGTTCAGAAGTACATTTCTTGTGTTAATGCACAGGAAATTAAAATTAGATCCTCAAGAAGGAAAAAGACGTGTCTGTGTATATCTGCAAATAAATATCCAAGTTACAATTATATAAATCTCAGAAGCAGTGCTAGAATTAATGTAATGCATGACCTATATTTTGTTTTGCAGTTTTGGGGTTTCCTGGAAAGCAGTCTGATTTTTAAAGACCTAGAACTTAAAAAGAAAAAAAAAAAGGTTATTGTTAGAAAGCCAGAATGCAGCTTTTAAAATTCTAAATCATTAGCATTTTTATACTAGACTATGACAATTATAGAATCAGTATTAAAATAAATAAA